ACGACCTCAATTTCAAGTTACACAAAATGTTCAAGAAATATGTTTATGCTCTCGAACTTTTTACTGTCGACCCTCACATTGATTTTCAAATTCACTTTTTCGATTCCATTTTGAAAAGATTATATTCATACAAGAAAAGGCTATGGTGTGGGGTGTGGGTGAGTGTGAGTGTGGGTGTGGGTGGGTGTGGGTGTGGATATGGGTCTGTGGGCGTGTGGGTGTCAGTTATGGTCATGTTCTGAATTTATCTCACACCTCACACCCTTCTAGATTATCTAAACCTATGAATCGCGTTATAGAAAAGTTTCAGCCGTTTCGTCAGAAAATAGTGTACGAATCAATTGTGAATCACTAGACAGTTCATGCAAAGAAGAAATATTAATAATGATATTTTGTTGTCTAACTAATTATATCCAAAATGCAGATCTATTTCTTTTAGTTTAGAGCACTTTTACTACGATGAAAACTTGCATTTCAAATACCTTTTCTCAGTATAGCTTCATTATCTTGTGGCCATGGTGACGTTGTAATTGCCACTGCCACTAGATTTTTTTGTTCAATTGTACGAAATTGAAATTGTGTTCCAATTGGAATGGTAATACATATATCAGCATTAACTGTTACAATTTCTTCTCTCTCCCATTCTGTTTGCGCCAAAATTCACCTTCGCCACATAGAAAACACCATATTTCATAGACACTTCAATGAATAACGTCATTTGTGATCGATACTAATATTATAGGAGGACTTACCCGAAGCTTTTCGATATTGATTGACTGTCACAGAATTGAATATAATAAATGAATCACTATTAGTACTTTGTACTAGTATTTGACTGGTGAATTGTAGATTGCAGAAGACATTGAAAATAATAAAAACAATAATATCGATGAACATAGTGTCATATACAATAATCTATAATAAATGAAAAGAAAACAATCAATTACTGTATTTAACTATTATTGGAGGTAGAAAAAGAGACAATAAAAATTTTTTTATTGTGTTTACGCAATAAAATATATATAATTTAAAAAAAAAAGAGTTTCATCATAAGATGATTAGTTTCGATGATGAATAAGTGACTAATATCGATAATAAATAGGTTTAAATGGGCCATCGGGATGTACATCTATATATGCTGATTGAGTTGGTGTCAATTTATCCAATTTGATGCCTAAATATTCTAAATGTGCGATGGCTACCTCTTCGTCCAACTAAAATTCAAAAGAATTTTTATCAAAGATGAAACTAATTTTAATGAAAGAATATTTACAGTTTTTGGAAGAATATGAATTCCAATTGGATATTGTCCTTTTTTTGTAAATAATTCAATTTGTGCCAAGATTTGATTTGAAAATGAATTGCTCATAACAAAACTTGGATTACCATGAGCACAAGCTAAAAATATATAAATAATTCAATAGTGGATTCTTATTTTTATCATTAATAATACGTACAAAGATTAATCACACGTCCATCAGCAGGTAAAATTACAGCACGACCATTTGGTAAATGATAAATATCAACCTATAATAATACAAACAAGTAAATTACAATTTCTTTTGATTCAATAGAATATACTTGTGGTTTAACATTTTCAATTTTGATTGCATTGGCTTTTAACCATACAACATCAATTTCAGTTTGACCTGAACCAATATTACATAAAATAGCCATATCACGCATTTCCATAATATGTTCACCACGAATTAGTTCAGTTGAACCAGTAGCTGTGACGAATATGTGACCAATTTTACATGCTTCAGCTATCGTTGTCACTTGATATCCTAGAATAATATATCATTAATTATTACAATCCATAACGAGAAATATATAGCATGTCCGGAAAGCCATTAGAGTTAGGAAAATTTGAATATCTTCATTACGACTCGAGCATACAGACAAGAACATTGAGAATCTTTGTTAAATATCACTACTGACCTCAACAAGAAAATTTTACTTTTTCACAGATAGGAAAAAAAGCAATATGCTTAACAAAGGTTCTTACTAACCTTATCAGTATAGATTTGAAGTGTGGACATCCCTATATCCTTGGTAAAAAAAAATGAGCTCATTTGATCGAGCCGTAATGTAGATATTCAAATTTCCCTAACTCTAATGACTTTCCGAATACTCTACATATTGCTTACCATCCATTGCAGCTTGTAAAGCACAAATTGGATCGATTTCAGTAATAATCACTTTCGCACCATGACCACTCAATGTTTTTGCACATCCTTTTCCTACATTACCATATCCAATAATTACTACTGTTTTTCCTCCAATCATGGTATCGGTCGCTCGTTTAATACCATCAACGAGACTTTCACCACATCCATAATTATTATCAAATTTTGATTTTGTTACACTATCATTAACATTAATGACTGGGATGCTTAATTTTTTACTTTTTAATAATTTACGTAATTTTGTTATACCAGCTGTTGTTTCTTCACTACCACCATGAATAGCATGTGTTAAATGTAGATATTTTTCATGTACAATTCGTGTTAAATTACAACCATCATCCAAGATTGCATTCAATGGTTCACCATTAGCAAAATAAATTGTCTAAAAGATAAACGAGAAGACCAAATAGGTTTTTTTTTAATACGATAAAATAGATAAGAACAAAAATAATTACCTGATCTATACACCATAATTTTTCTTCTTCTGTTTCTCCTTTCCAAGCAAAAATGGCTATACCAGCTTTAACTAATGCAGCTGCAATATGATCTTGTGTTGATAATGGATTACAACAACTCCATCGAATCTACAAAATAAGAATTATAAATAAACATCAAATAAGTTAAAAAGATAACTTACTTCAGCACCTAATTCACGTAATGTTTCAATCATTACTCCTGTTTGTGCCGTCACATGTAAACATCCAGCAAGACGAACACCTTTCAATGGTTTTGTAGGACCATATATTTTTCGTAATCGCATTACTCCGGGCATTTCAAATTCAGCCATTGATAAGGCTTTTCTACCTGATTTTGCTAGTTTGATATCAGCGATTTTGTACGGAAGCCTTTCCATTTTGCCAGTAAAAGATAAGGATTCTTCGTCTGCATCAAATAAGTGGCCTAGTCGTATATCATCTGTACAACCACCAAACAAATAATATTTTCTAATGAAAATGTATTTTTCGTTAGACTTACCAACGCTTTGTTCGCTGAATTGGCGACAAAAACGTCTTCCTGCAGTCGGAATTGATATTAATGATGTTGTTACATCTTCAAATCCTTCTTGTTCTATTTGTTCTTCATTTAAACTATCGTTTCCGTTGGGAACCGATTTGCTTTGTATTTCTAGAAATTAACAAAATAATATTTGATTTTTCTTAGAGACATATTGTGAGAACAAACCTGAAAAATGTGATCGACTAATTGCAGGCATGTGTGGGTTGATAAATAGCTAAATTTACTGTAATAATAAATTGCTTGTGTTGACTTATGACTTCTCTTAGTTCTTTTTGTATAATGTGAAAATTCTGAAAATTTATTCGAGCTTTTATAGGCATATTGATACTTGAGTTGGATAAAATACTAGAGCTCTACTGACGTCAGACGAATTAGGAAGTAACGTGTACCAAGTCAATAATAATAACTATAAAACATGTATCGACGATTTCTTTTATTGCTTTGTTCCTATATCTTTTATGCCATTAATCCATCAACATTTCTTATATTTGACATAGAAAGTAAGTACGTCACTGTCTGTTCTGCAATAAAAAAAATGACATGTACATATATCACAATACAGGGCAAAGTTTCACAGAAAAGAAAGCAGTATCAATAAATATATTCGATGAATATAGATAAAGGTAAAAGTCTAAAATCGTTAAAATCGACAAATATAAGATTAATAATTTGTTTTGTTTTTTCAATAAAATCGAGATATACTATTTAGACAATATATCTTTCGACGAATATCAATCCAAATTCGGAAGTATTTTATCTTTTTCTCGTAGAATATATTTAATACATCGAATTTCATTTTTTTTTCTCTTTTTGAGTTATAAATGAAAATGATTGATACAACAACATCTATGAAAAAGAAAACTCCTCATTTAATTCGAAAATGGTCTGATGTTATATGGCTTTTGATTGAAGTGAATTTATTTGGTAGTACAATATTTGGATTTCCAGCTTTATTTCAAATTTTACCTCAATATAGCGTTTATGGTGATAAAAATGATTGTTCATCATCATCAGACACAACAGAAAGTGGAGAATTGTCTTGTGAAAGATATCAAACACGACATTATCAAGTATGTTCGTATGTCACATCAATCATTTTGTTTTGATCTATGTATTTGTTGTTGATTTTAGAATGCATTAACACTAGGTATTATTTTATTTGAAATTTCATCATTAGTTATCGGTCCATTAATCGATCGATTTGGATGTCGATTTGTTAAATTAATTGCAATGTGAATACTATCCATTTCTCTTGTTTTGTTATATTCTATTTTCTTTAGAATTTTTCATGTTATTGGATGATTAGCAAGCATTAGCATTAATTGCACCTGGTAAGTGAGTACATGTTCGTAAAAGTATTTTTTGTATTTTTTTTTCTAGGACGAGATTCACTGTTATATGTTCATAGAGCCTTCTCGTCCTTGACTGGTATTATGATATTATTAACATCTTATTCATCAAGTGGTTATTTTACAAAATCAAGAGCATTTGTATCGACCTTGTTCGCTGGAGCATGTACATCAGCTACAATGTGGTATTCAATATTTCAAGTATGTCACAACTTCTTTTCTTCCAAGAGGAGAAAATTGAATTTAATTCAATAATTTTTTTATATATATTTGTTCTAGGTTTTAATTGATGCAAGGAAGATCTTATTACAACAACTGTCTTACATATGGTTATCATTTAGTATATTATTGTTAATCAGTTCATTTCTATATCTTGATTGGAGATTCTCTATTTTAAGTTTACCTTATCAATTTGATACGAAATTAGAAGAGAAAAATGTGTCTTCAATTAGTGAAATAGATAAAATGAAATGGTATACACAAATTTTAAAACGAAAATGTGTTTGGTATTATTTAACAAGTCCATTGTATATATTGGTGGTATTATTTTTAAGCATTCTATTACCACCAGGAATATTTCTTTCTGTGACATGGTATCCATGGGTGTATTATGTCACAAAATAAGATACAATATTGAGTAAGTTATCAATTCTTCTACTAAATGATCATCTAATATCTGATATTTATTTTCTTCTAGATAATAAATATACATTTGCATATAACTTATCCACCATTGCTGCTATTATTATTTGTCCACTAAACGGTTTTCTACTTGGATTTAGAGCTGATAGAAGTAAAATAACAATTTTTTTTCTGTAAAATTAAAACATTGATTGCCTTTATATTCAGGTAAAAAACAAAAATGATGTAATATTTCATTAATGCAAACTATATCATGGCTTCTCAATATTGTTGCATGTATTGTATGCATGTTTGTTCAAACGAGTATGATTATTCCAGCATTGGTAATTAATTGTATTCGGCGAGCAACAATTGTTGGTGGAAGTCAAGCAGTAATAGCAACCTTATAAGTAGTTGTCATTATCAGAAATAAATTCTTACATTTCTTTATCTCTAGTTTAGCTTTCCATCTGAATATATTGGTACATTAACTGGCTTAATGTGGACATTGGTTGGTCTTATTGCTACTGTTCAATATGGTTTAGTTCAATTAACGGATGATATAACTCGTTCGTGGAGAGTAAGTTGTTATTATGTTCTTTATTAGTATTTTAGAAAAAGATTTCTTTTATTTTTAGACGTAGATGATTATATTATCACTTGTGATATTAATGTCATGTCATTTAATTCAATTATGGTGGAAATACATGAAAGAATTGATAAATAAATCGACGACAACGATTGAAGATAAGATTATTACAAAATTTTGAAAAGACAAAGCTTTTTGTTTTTTATTTGAGTTGATAGTAAAGCTTTTTTTTTTGAAATAAAATTGAAGTTTCAGTTGTTTCATTTCAATTAATATCTTCTACATTCTTTGTCAAAGAAGAATGATCGATTCTATGTCTCAGCCGATAAAACTCATTTTCGGTGTGGGTGTGAATGTCAGTTGTGGGTATACGCGAACAGAACTACCATACTCGCATACACCCACACACATGCACACCCAGGTCGACATCTCACACTCACACGCACATCCTTTTGCACTACGAAATACTGCTTCATATTCGTATAGAGCTCCAGGACGAGCAAAACGAGGTTCGGATCCAACAGAGTACGGGTGTGGGTGTCGATAATCTCTTCAAACACCCACACCCACACCCACACCCTGATCAGATGAGAAGAGAACGGTCGCAAGGTCAATATGGAGGAAGAGAAAAAACTGAACGATACATTTCTTTACATAGTGGTTCTTATGAGGGAATGTTCTCAACTATCCAATCGTTTTTGAGTTTGAACCGAGTGCATAAGATAGATCCCAATGAGAGATGAAAAACCTGGGAAGGATAAATGCTCCAGCATGCCCGAGATTCTAGATATGTGACACTGCTGACATCATAGGCTTGAATTCCAGTAAAATGTTTATACTTCTGGGCAGAAGATCTAAAGATGTTTATCCTTTTGAAGTTTTTCATATCTCATTGAGATCTGTCTTATGCACCCAGTTCGAACTCATTAGCGATTGGACAGTTGTAGACGTTCCTTCGTAAGTTGTATATATAAATCATTGAGGTTATTAGTAAAGTTTTGTGGAACTCACATATATTTTCGAAGAAAATAGTGAGTGTAAGTTTTAAGTTCGAGGTTTGGCGGCTCCCCCCCCCCCCCACCCTCCCCTTACAGACCATAGCAACGAAGAAAGAGAACATTACAGACAACTCCATTACAGACCATAGCAACGGAGAAAGAGAACATTGCAGACCATAGCAACGGAGAAAGAGAACATTGCAGACATACCCCCCCCCCCCATTACAGACCTTAGTAATTAAGGATAACAAGCGTCAGACTTTCAATTTTTTTTTTGAAAAATTGATCAAGTTATAATTTTGAAAGATAATCAACATCAGTGTTTGTGAGCTGATTAATATATATAATAGTGCATAAGATCTTCTGTATATATCATGGATATGTGAAACAGATTTGTTTGCTGATTAATTTAATGATTATAATAATAAGAATGTTGAATTATGAAAAATGAATTAAAAAGAATGAAAGATAATGAGCGAATAGCAACAATACAAAATAAAAATAGGGCGCTCTGAAACAAAAAAAAATTTTCTGTTTTAAATGAAGAAATAAATAACAAAGTGTCGCTCTTGTCATTGACTATCAATGAAAACAACTACAGTGTACACGGAATTTTTCAGTTTACATATGATGTATTAGAATATTAAGATTTAAGGATATATGTGAGTTTCACATTTCAGCTCCGCAGGAGCTGCGCTAACAAGCTTTTTTAGTAACACTCTCTCAGTTCAATTTCGAATACAGTGTCCTTATTAATCGTATTTTTTCTTGTAACTCGCTTAACTTGAAATAAAATATAAGGATTTAGCAACACTTCTCGTTCATGTTCAAATTCAGATATTGTTTCAATGTAGTGCATTTAAAAAATTACGTAGCCGTTTTGGATATTTAAATAATGGTCAATAAAACCACTATCGAATAATTGAATAGGCTTTTCTAATGCTGAACGAGGTTTACGAATTTCATACATGCAGATCGCCGAAAACTTTCCATCTTGAGTGCCACATGAATCACCAAAAACTTCAGCAACTGCTCGATCTTTTGATGTCGATAGAAATGCTTTGTTCATCAGTAAAGTACCCACAGAATACAGTTTTAAATCATGTTGCGTAATTCTCATACCTCGGTATGTAGTACCTATATATGTGAACCGATCCAGAGATGGATGAGATAACATTATGTCGAGAAGATCTTGATGTCCCCACCAATTATCACTTTCACGTGACTCATGTAACTGAGCTAACCGTTCGTTTAGTATTTTGTAGTACTGTGTTTCTGCTGTATATGCCTTTATTAATTGTACTGGATCATTACTTGCTTGAGCCTTTTGATAAAAGGAACGAATTAAACCTATACCATGCATATCTTTTAGGCAGCCATCGAGATACTTTTCGCGTATACAGTTAATCCATTCATCAAGACCTGGTTTTGTATGCCATGGCCACTTATGATTTTTGAGTTCCCAAGCAACTTCTCGTTGAACCGTGGGATCAGCTTTCATCCATTCAATCCGTATTCCTTGGTCCTGCATGCCATCAACAAATCGTTCAGCACCATTTTTTCGTTTAAATAATTGTCGAATCTCTTCTGATTGGGCTTCACCATAGGGCGTCAGATTGTGTTGGTTTCGAATAGATCTTGACACTACTCCTGTGTCGAGCAGTAACTTGACAATTCTGGAATGACCGTTTGATGAAGCAATATGTAGTGCAGTGTTACCATTAGGTTCAATGGAATTTATTTGTTCCACAGACATGGACGCGAGTAAGCCTTGAACCAAATCGATATCTCCATCTCCACATGCTATGTACAAGTCGCTGAATTCTAGAGATTTTGGTTCCATTCTGTTGTCACTAAAATGCAAACGTGCACGATGAACGAAAGATAGTTTATGAAGTTTATCGTGTTTTATAGCAGCGAACGAAAAAAA